TAGAGCTGACAGGAAACGCAGTCGGGTTACAATCCTCTTTGGGTTCGTCACTACGACTGGCCATTTAACACATAGTCATTTGACCCATATACAGTAAAAATTCAGATTAGAGCAGCTTTAAGGGTACATCTGAACATTAATAAAGCAATGGAGGATGGGTAATTACCCAAACTGCCCATTTACTTTCTTTCAAAATATTATTGGAGTGTGATAAGCATTAGATGCTATTCTGAGACAGCACAGTCTGGTCCAGTCGGCAAGGATGTGCAAACGTTCGGCTGTGCAGCTCAGCACGCACAGACTGGATACCTGATAGGTTCTATCTCAGACACAAGAGAGAGATCGGATTCATTTTGGACATACTTTAAAAAGCTTTGAGGAAGCCTTTCAACAGAAGTGTGTGTGTATCTGGTCTTTAGTTGGACCGACCCTACCATATTGCTAAACAAATCAGCTCAGTATCATTAATTAGACCAATGGTTTTGATACAGAAAACTCACTAAAACTTATTCCTATTCAGTAGTCATGTGGGTTGAGTCATTACTGCTGTGTTTAATGTTGCTTGACGTTTTCAACTCCATTGTGGTTTATGTTGCTTTTTTCTTATTATGTAATAACAGAATATGTTTTATTTCATAATCGCATTAATCATGGAACAAAGTGATGAAGGGGACTTTGCACAAATGACATGAAGTGACGTTAACTGCTATAAAAAGATACGCTTCCGTGCCTGTTGCTCATCATCACTGTAAAACTCTCCAGGTCACACAGAGCTGAGCTGTAGGGCTCCTCTCCTACCACTTCCTCCTCCCCCTGTCAAAACGAAACTGCACAAAGGGACTGAAAGTCCACCTGAAACTCTGTCTCGTGTTACATTTCACTCAGCACTCAGATTCACTCTTAGTATCTGGCCCCCACATACAAACAAGCTGCTGCCCCAACAACACACAGCAGGAACAATATGATGAAGACTTACCACAATAACAGCACAATCTTAAAAAGTGATACTAACAAAAAATAGTTTTTGAGTGGTTGAAGGACATTAAGTTTGGCATCCATCACTATTTTCAAACATTATATAGATCAAACATTTAATTGATACAATGAGAAAATAACCGTGTGAGGTTCCCTCTGCTGCCACTGTCTTCCCACCACACCAAGAAATCCTAAGTGACATCAGACGCCTTAGAAATGCCATAGTAGTAAGAAAGAGAAAGGAGAGATGCGGCTAAACAAGACTGACTGGTTTGCCGTAATGAGGACAAGTTTCTGGATTGAGGATATGAGCCTACTCTAGTAAAACCTGAACAACACGTGGAGCATGTTGTTGACTTGTAGCAGTGTTTTTCCACTTTCCTTACCATTTCAGGTCCCTATGGTTCACTTTGTCGTTTAATTCTATACTCATCCAACTAGGGTCATTTTACCTATCTCTAGTCATTTTATGGCTCTTTTTACTCATTTTACTTCTCTATTTCAACATTTTGCATCTCTTTGTAGTTGTTTTGTGTCTCTTTCTAGTCATTTGATTGACTATACAACAACAAATGTAATTTTATCCAAGGGCCCTGGGCCTCTACTTGGTAGGCTAGTTCAATAATCCATCCATAATACTAATACGCCAACTACATATCACCTTCTGACTCTGTGTGTGTGTGTGTGTGTGTGTGTGTGTGTGTGTGTGTGTGTGTGTGTGTGTGTGTGTGTGCGTGTGTGTAGGGGGAGGGGGGGTCTAGACATGCAAGCAAGTCAGAAAATAACACATAAACGGAAATGTCTTCAAAGCCAAAGTTCAAATTCATCCGTTGAAGAAGTCTGATCACACATATCAATTTAGTTCATCAGATAAGCAATAAGCCGGCCATAGGCACATTACTATCAGCTCACACACCCTGACAGAAGAGGAAGTTAGCTTTGCATTCTTACACAGCTGGCTGTTCTTGTCAATGACCAGTCACTGGTTGCATAAGAGTTTTTGGGGGATGTCATGCATTATAGTGATATAATACACTGAAATTTTGTCTGACGTCAAATGTTCTGTCTATTTAGTGGATGTTTTGAGATAGATGCAGAAATCTAAAAAAACACTTGTAGATGCAAAATACAAATTGTAATATTGTTGCTGTCCTGAGAAAAACATGTATGTTCTTAAACTATTCAGATATGAGCTCTAAAAAAGCAACCCTGTTTTTTTCTTTTCTGGCAATGCATTTCTTCAGATTATGCGGGTTATTTGGCACTCATCCTAGAATTGTCGAGGTTTACGCTTGGTCTTTTTTTCCCCAGTAGGTTTAGACAAATTTGCATTCCCGCTACCACTTGGAGAAGCTAGTTCCACGTAAAGTGCATCCACACTTTATACAATTGAAACGATTAGTCAATTAATCATTTAGATCTATTATCTAGCAAAAATGCCAAACATTCTCTGATTCCAGCATCTACAATGTGCAGATGTGCTGCTTTTCTCTGTTTTATATCATTGTAAATTGAATATCTTTGAGTTTTTGGCTGTTGGTGGAGAACAGGTTGGAGAAGGTATTATTATATATTAACATCGAAGCGAACTCCAAAAGCACATATTCTGACTTGGTCTGATCAATGAAACGAGGTTCAACAGAATTTGCAAACACTGTTTTATGTTTGTCATCCAACAGAATGCAAATAGCATTGGACCCAGACTTGGCTGAGGAAGAGAGGTGGGCGGGAAGGAACATGCTGCGCTCACACAATGATGCCGTGAGGAAATGAGCTGACAGGAAAGGGAGAAAGAGAGAAAGAATGACCATTGACACGTTTGCAGTGGTTGGTGTGCAGGTTGAGTCAAGTTCACTGGGACATGATTAGTGATTCTGGCTCGGGATCAGCTGGCTTGTTCAACTTTCATACAGGGCTACATTTGTACCTCACAAGCTTTGTCACATGCATGAATGTAGACAGGGGATGAAGAAAGGGATTTATTTACCTAATCAACAAGGAGGAGAATTAGTGTGTAGCCTATGATTCAGTGCGCGCATGTACAGTACATATTGACATTACTGTAATCATGTTATACACCCTGTCTACTGTACTTCAGGCCTATCCCTCTTGATAGCTCACGCTGCCACTCCACAGAATTTACTGAAGCCAACAAGCACACAAGGCAGCAGTGTAAGAAGGAATAGAGCCACAGAGGCCTTATCTACACTTTTTCCAGAAGCACGCCCAGTTCAAACCTGATGTGTTAATGACTTTTTTAATTCAAACGTAACAAACTGATCATGAGGAAAACTTGCAATTTATGATAATCAAAAAACACCATGTCAACAGGAGTTTGTTACATTAAAACGCGATGTGTCAGGGTTAGTTTTGTAGTACTCGAGACCGGTCTTAAGACCACTTTTTGATGGTCTTGATCTCGTCTCGGACTCGACCACATTTGTACTCGGTCTTGTCTCGGTCTCGGACTTTGAGGACTCTGGATTTTATTTCAAGACCAGTCAAGACCATAACTTTGGGAATATTAATGAATTGCTTTTGCATTGTCTGATTTATTTGTTAACATCCTAACTTTGACTGGATGTAAAACATATTGCTTCAAATGCAACCAATAACCCTAATTAAAAATGTTCCCGTTAACGACTGTCACCCCTCCCTGCGATGGTCAGCATGGAAAAGGAGTGTTGAATAAAGATGCGTACGTTGATTTCAGCTCTCAGTTTTTGTATGTGGGTGTTTTAATGGTAATGTGGATCTTTCAGATCCGTTTGAGAAGTACCTATGATCTCGTTCCACATTTTATTGTGTGTCATGTAATGTTAGGAACAGGTCTTGGTCTTGACTCGGTCTCGCCCTCCCTCCTTGGTCTCGGTTTGGGCGGTCTTGACTACAACACTAGTCAGGGTTATGCCTGTCCGTACATATCTATTTTTCCAATATTTATATTTGTATGTATGGAGTATTCAGGTTTATACCATCTGAAGATAAATCTCAGTAAAAAAAAATGTTGCACTACAGATGCTTCAGCTGCAATGTGAATCTATTTGTGAGATTCAAAGTTTGTTTATGACCCTGGAAACAAAAGGTGACAAAGGTGCATTTAGCAGCCACCCATGCGCTTCTGATCATATCACATGAGCTTCGCCAGCAGATGTAAAACTGTCCATTTTTTCCCATCTGGTGAGGAAGACCATGTGTTATGACTGAATTTCATGGCATTTATTAAGACCGTATTTAATCGTGATTGTTCATGTCATGGTTGATACCTGAACTCAAGATTAATCAATAATGGAAAATCCCTCCTTTTAGACCTCCTATACTCCCCGCTAACAGTTTTGTAGCTAAGATCAGAAATGTTCCTCCATTGATAGTAAGCATCTTTGGACCCATTTGTTTTTCAGTCACAAACCTGACCTATTAGCTCTGCTGCCAAACTGTGTTGTTAAATAAAGCCTGTGTAGAGTACAGCGCGTTAGTCCTCACCACCATTCTTTCACAGCAGCTCCACAGCTCCCAAATTCAGTCTCAAAAATAAGCTGCATTGCTCCAGATTGAAACTAGAACAACCTTTCTTTCTACATCTCTTTTCCTGCGTCCAGTTCACTTCTCTTGGGGTTCTGTCAAGGTCAAATTTTAAATCCTGTGCTCAAGGAGTGAATGATCAATACTTCCTTCTACTCTACGACTACTGCACACACTGCTGCACTTAAAGTCCAGGGCCTTGCTCAAGAGCACTACCGCTACAATCCTGACTCCACCTTAAGGCCCGCCGCACCCTCACAAGTCAGCCAGGAAGGCAGCTTCATCAGTAAAGGAGGTATGCTGAAAAGGAAAAGAGATGCTGCTGCTAGTGCCATCAATAACCCTCATCCCCAGCCAACACCAACATCACTGCAGTACAATAAACCCACAAAGTTGATGTGAGAAAGTATCAGTGGCCTGTCTGTCAGCTCGCCGCCCACCATCATCCCCCACCACATCAGGGCCGCAGCATCCAGCCCAGCAGCAGCAGCAGCAGGACTCACCCAGTGTTTTGACTGCGATCTGCCGCGTCAAAGGCGGCGGCAGGTTGATGCAGACCAGATCCACGTCCTGATGCAGCAGCACGTCGTCGATCCGGTTGGTGTAAAAAGGTACGTTCATCTCCTTGGCCAGCTCTTCCGCCTCCTCCTGCGTCCGGCCCCACAGCGCTTTGACGGCGAAGCCCTCATTCTTCAGCAGCGGAATGATCACCCTGGCCGTCAGGCTGGTGCCGAACACGCCGACCCCCGGAAGCATGGCGCGGGTTTACTGGCTGATCTGGTTCACTCTGTTTTCAGTTTGTTTTTACAGCTTCGGATGAAGCCAGACCTGAACGGGAGGGAAGCGGCGACCTGGACCGTCAGGTTGGCCATCCACCTGCAGCCAAACACCCGCCGTGCTGCATTTTCCCGTCGCTCCGGCTCTGCGATCAGGCATGTAATGTCGTTACTCCAACGGGAAACTTGACCAGAACGGATGGAAAGTCGAACAAGGCGTTAAAAATAGAAATTCAAACGCACCATTCCGGTCTTTACCTCGGCCACGTCTGACAGCGATCAGCGCACTGACTGCGCCAATAAGTGAACGGCATGTCACCTCCTTCCTAGGTTTGTTAGTCCTCTTCCAAATGGACCCTCCCTTCAGACCAAGCGAGACGGAATACCTGAGAGCCAGAAAGGTGTGTTATCTCACGGCATGCTTACAGGAACACCGCCGTCTCCTTCTGCCCGCTCCCCGGAGGATCCCGCAGCAGCAGCACTCTGCCAGCTTGCTGTTGCAGCTCAGACCTGCCCTGTCAAGTCAGCGACAATAACACGGCGACAGGAAGCACTACTAATTTAAAAAAAACAAGCTTTAGTGACGAGCATAATATTTTCCACCATTGTAGCCGATGACTGGAGTAGGAAAGGGTAGGCTACAAAGATCCTTTACTTGCACGTCTGATTCTTCCTATGATTATTTTGTTAATTATGTCATGAGTAGTAGTAGTACTAATGACAGTAGGCTACACATTTATTTTAATGCAACCACCATTTCCGGTCTTTACTGTCTATCTTTGCGTCACTTGACACCGCGCTTTCCTCCCCAGTTTAACCCTTCCGCTCCAGGGCAGAATTAGGCAACCTAATGCACCGAAAGAGCTATGCTGTGTGGTGGAGTGATTCTAATACAAACAAAAAAAAAAGAAATATAAGCTCGTGTCACAGTACAACAGCCATTATTCAAATTTCAGGTCAACATCCATGATAACATTTACTGTAATATTCCTATGATGTGCCAGGTGGCGTTAGTGCACTTGCTGCACTTTGTTCATTATGTCTTCATTCATGTGCTTTAATATTCACAACTACAATAAGAAAATATGTTCTTCTACAATGCTAAGGGAAAGCGATACGTGTTATTTCAGATTAACAGTTGTTCCAGAAGTCCCAAAAAACGATGTATAAATATTTCTGAATGAAAACATCACATTTTTCCCATTTTCAATGCATCTGTTATCAGTCCTCTGTATGTTGTCTTCTTTTTATCCTGGTTGTTGAATGTTGCCTGTAATTCTGTCACACACCCCTCATCCAGAATCTGTATCGCTCCATTCACTTCAGCCTGCTAACCAAGCTCTACTGCCAAGCTTTACTCACTCAGCTGCATGGGGAACTGAACCCCTAACCCTACGGTATACTGCATCCTTTAACACAGCCTGACAGACAGAAACTGTCACCAGGAGAGACATCATCTTTTTAGGTTTACGATATGATAGAGTTGAGCTACTTTGTATTCTGCAGCAGGGTTTAGAAGCCTTTGAAGAGAAGAGAGGATTTGAATATCATCATGGCCACTATGTGCTGAGCTTTTCCACACATCATCTTTCTTTGGGTTTAATAGAGCGAACACCTCGCACACTGTGCTCAGGTAGGTCCAGTATGTATTGACCTGAAATTACTGCACAGAAAACATATTTTGAATGTTTGCATGTCTAATAATAAAAACAAAACATGTCTGCATTTGCTGCACTTGAAAAAATAAAGTTACTAATTCTGGTTGCATTTTTCTGGTTAAGAAAATTAAAGGTCTTAATAAAGATTGTTGTTAAAGTGGTCATGTAAGCTGATTTTCAAGTTCATCATTTTATTTAGATGTTGTAGGAGAACAGGTTCACATGGTTTAATTTTCAAAAAACACCACATTTAGAACAAAAACACATTGTTGCAGCTCCTCTTTTCAGCCTGTGTTTTGAACGCTCCGTTTTAGCTCTTGAGTGATGCATCTCACTTTCACAAGATCTTTGTTGGGAGTTGCAAATGGCAGTACCTAGTTAAGTTACCAACTTTATGTCCACTGACTGCCTGGAGGGAAGCTAATGTTCATTAGGGAGGGCTGGGGTGAGGGGAGGCAGTGAGCAGATGTTTTGTCACTGGGTGCTTCTCAAGTCTCTTTTTGTCGTTTCCCCGCTCCTTGCTTGAACTGGAAGATGTTCCACACCACCATCTTGCAGACCGTCATACATCACTGCATCCTTCACCGATTGACACACTCCCTTATTGAGTAGCAATCAGTCCAATCAGTAGTATGGTGATTGGACGCTGTAGCTGATCGGACTGATCTGATACATCAGGACAGATGACATTAAACTTGTAAAAGTGTATCACTGCAAAATCTTTTATTTGATTTGTTTTATGATTCACTGTCTTGTTAAAATCTAAGTTCATAATAGGTCTGAACAACAAAAGCCTCACATACAACTTTCTTAATTTATTAGAAAGTTTAGTTTTCGTTCTTTTATTTCTCCCATCAACTTTTAATATGGAGAAAAAAGTCAGAGAGAGTCGGAGAGTCTGTCAGCAAGAAACACATTTTACATAATTTACAGTCATTTCTATTCAGTCACATGTGGGGCTGGTCATTCCTGTGTTTAGTCCAAATTGACGACAATAAAAGATAGTAAACACGTAGCCTAAGGAGTCAGACAAGGTACTAAACTGCACTAAAGTCTCTAATGAAGAAAGCAAAGGAAAATAAAGCCTGCACATCCAGCACATCTCACCGACTTCATCTGACGAAAGCAGCTCCACGAGTAAAATCAGCTGATGAAAGAATGAATCAAAGCTGCTACGCTACAGAAAATCATTGGATTGACGTGATGGAACGCAGGGGTCGACTTGCAAGTGATGTGACTTGCAAATAAACTGTAGTCTTTGCAGTAGGCTAGTGACACCACAATCATATTCTGGGTTAGGCCTATTCAATCACAAATTCACAATCAGAATCAATAAATCTAAATGCAGATATTATAAGCATTGTGCCAGTAGAAATGATCCTGTGCCTCTAAGCAGGACATACAGTAGCCTATAATTAGCCTATTCATGTGCAGGTGTTTGTTAAACAGGTAACAGAGAATCATGCTGCTTTGCACTGATAACTGTGAGACTTTATTAGTACCAACATGGTGCACGTGTGTGCAGACACAAATTCCATCAAAAGTCTCTACAGCTGTTAAAGCCGACTGACTGTGACTGACTGTGAACAGCTGTCACCGTCATCAGAAATGGACGTTGCTTCACATGACGCTTCAGAGGAAAGGACATCTCTTGTCTCTTTTCTCTCCTGGCTTGGTTTCCTTGAGTCTCTCCAGATGAAGGGTGTTCCCTTCTTGTGTCATGAGTTCTATCTCACTCAGGCTCCGCCCTCTACTGGACCCTGTGGTTAATACTCCCTCCAATCACACACTGTGCCCACTGAAATTCACATATCGCTGGTACCGATGTGTGTGTTCACGCTTTATAAACAGTGGTGTGCTCACAGCCTCAACATCCTTTTCTCTTTAGCATATGGTGATCACTCACAGATCTACACCTCCAGCTCCTGGCCCCCCTGCTCAATTGTGGCTAGGAGCTGTTAATAAAACAAGCGGTGTCTGTCATTCTAGATCACAACAGACACAAGGGTCTTTACTCCAAGTACTTCCATGGTCCCCGTAAATACTGGAGGCTTCACACCCATCCTGGATCTGGTTCCACATGTTAACCATCAGGAGGTTGCTGGACCTGGTGCAGCCAGGTGACTGCTTCACCACCATCGACCTAAAAGAAGCGTACTTTCTTGTCGAGTTGGTGCTTAAACAGAACCGCGTTTTGCCTTTCAGGGGACGGCCTCCGAGTACCCCACCTTTGTTCCTAAGAACATCTGGAGCTCATTCAGGTCAAGAACACTCCACGTGTGGTGTCAATGGCACTATTTAGTGGGGTGAGTGTTGAGGAGATCTGTACAGCGGTATCTTGGTCTATGCCTTGCTAATTTGTTTGGTTTTACCTCTGGGATGTTTTGTGGCTCCTCGCTTGCGAGTGCAACTCATGTGGCATCCGTTTTGAGGGACTCCAGATGTTCTTAGGAACAAAGGTTTGAATATGTCAGACCTTGTTTATGATTTGGCAGTGAGTGCACCGCTACTTATACAGCACACATGTATGGGCAGCTTTGTCCAATTGGTTGGTAGTGTTCATGCATGAAAATTGCAGTGGGTGATTGCGTGTGTGTGACTGGAGGAGAGAATCACCCATTGAGTCCAATAGAGGGCTCTGCCTGTACTAATAGAACTTACTAGGGAAGCAACATGAGAAAGCACATTTGTCAAGTTTCGAGAGACATCAGGTTGCACTGTCAACATCCAGCCTCTCTTATCGATTTAACCAACAATGCACAGAGCAAATAAAAGAGAAAAAGACAGTAATTTGGACTGGTAGTGCACAGAAAGTGGTGAAAGGCAATCACAGGCTACAGGAGGTCAAAGCTCAGTCAAGGACAAAGCTCAAGGGTTTGCTTGTCAGAGACCTTTTGGCAGAATGTGTCCATTTCCCTGCTACAGTATAATCAAAGAAACCAGCAGCAGAAACCTTTTTAAACACTGGATTATATGGTAACAAGAATCAGGTGCAGGGTGTTGATCAAGTATTAGCTTTTAAAGAAATAAATCAATACTTATTATCTGTATTATATATAATGACTGCATATTCAATAACATTGATAATAATGGCAGCGTGTAAAGGCCAGCTGATGTAACTTGTAAAGGATGAACTTTAAATTCTGTAAACATAAACAGCATCATGTTCTAACACTGTCTCTGGTTTGCTCTCCCTCTTCTTCTCTGTCACGGTCACGCTCTAATTAAATCAGATGTTGGTATGGTTTGTTTGTTTGAAACAGAGCACATGACCAGTTGGGGTCAGGCCTGTCAGTGCTGGATAGCTGATTGTCCAGTTAGATAAAAGGGAGGGGCATACGGGGCAGTAGGAGGCTGACACCACCCACAGTACATGGGCAGGATGATCACCTGACAGCCCTTGCAAAGAGAGAGGAGTGATGTGGATGGACTAGTACAGGCTTGTAAACAGATCGCTTTGTTAACGTGTATTTGGAACAATATATTTGGAGGTCATCTGATATAAAACAGACAAATCTCTGTACCAGTCACTGCCACCAAGCTGCAGCATGAAGCCAATTTCAAGAGAAGGCAAGGCTGCCCTCTAGTGGACAAATGTTATTCCAACAACGTTAAACACTGTCCAGAATACTTTCTCAAACTGTGTTCCTGAAAGTTTGTTTATTTTAACAGGAGCTTCAGTCTGCAAATCACTAAAACTATAATGAGGATCTACTGCAGTGTTTTCAACCTTTTTTTTAATTTTATTTGTGACCCTTTTTAATATAAAGTCCTTGTGGCCTCTCGTCATAGATTGCATGTGCATTGTGAAAAGTTCAACTGAAGAGTAATTTGCCTTCTCAAATTGTTTCATATTAAA